AGGAAGGTGTGGGTGGACCAGGCACAGACAAGGGGCTCCCAGTGACTGTCCCCTCTCCACAGTTGGTATGGAGTGCGGATGAGGAGAAGAAGAGGCAGTGTGTGTTCAAGGGCAAGGACCCCCAGGTGAGCCCCACTACCAGTGGCTGTCAGGGGCTGCAGTGGAGTGGGCAGTGCCCATGCAGGGTGGATGCGGGTGGGAGGGCTGAGCCAAGGGCTGAGCTGGCTCCTCTGACCCCTGCAGAGGGACTGTCACAACTACATCAAGCTGCTGCTGCGGCTGAACAGCACCCACCTGTACACCTGTGGGACCTGTGCCTTCAGCCCAGCCTGTGCCTACATTGTGAGTACAGGAGCGGGGCCCCACTCAGGTCCCCCCACGCTGATGGGGCCCTTCAACGGGCACTGGGGTGAGCACTGCTAGCTCACAACTTTGTCCTGTTGCAGAACATGCAACACTTCAGCCTGGAGCGGGATGTGTCAGGGAAGGTGCTGCTGGAGGATGGGAAGGGACGCTGCCCCTTCGACCCCGAGTACCGCTCCACGGCTGTCATGGTCGGTAAGGCACAGTGCCCTGGAACTCTCACTCTCCCTGTGCTGCCTCAGGACTCTTGCCCTCCCTGCACCACCCTGGCACCTTCACCCTCCCTGCAGTGCTCTGCGGCCCTCGCCCTCCTCCCTGGGTCTCACCCTCCCTGCATCTGCCCCACCAAGCTGAGCCAGGGCCGGGCTGTCATGGACCCTGGTGGGGAGCGGGGCCGTGCCAGTGGCATGTGCTGGGTCTCAGCAGGAGCATCTCTTTGGTAGATGGAGAACTCTATGCCGGGACTGTCAGCAACTTCCAGGGCAATGAGCCGACCATCTCCCGCAGTCAGGAGAACCGCATTGCCCTCAAGACCGAAAATTCCCTCAACTGGCTGCAGGGTGAGCACTGGGGCTGGCACGGTTGGTCAAGGTCCTCATCCCCCAGAGCGTGGGAAGCTGGGGATAGGGCCAGTAGTGCTAAGGGTCCCTGTGTCCCCAGACCCCGTGTTCGTGGGCTCAGCCTACCTGCGCGAGAGCCTCCCTGCCGGCAACCCCGAGGGCGACGACGACAAGGTCTACTTCTTCTTCAGTGAGACTGGGAAGGAGTTCGATTACTTCGAGAACACCATTGTCTCCCGCATCGCACGTGTGTGCAAGGTGGGCACAGAGCAGTGGGGATGCCTGGGGGACTGTGCCTGGGATATGACTCACTGTTGGGGTGGGGGGTATGTGGGAGCACCCTGCACATTTCCAACCCTCAGTGCCTGGACCCCTACTCCACTCACCCAGCCCCTGAGGCTCCCCGTGGCCACAGCTGTGGTGTCACGCCCTGACCCGCTGTGCCACACAGGGGGACCAGGGCGGGGAGCGTGTGCTGCAGCGGCGGTGGACGACCTTCCTGAAAGCTCAGCTGCTCTGCTCACACCCCGAGGACGGGTTCCCCTTCAATGTGCTGCAGGACATCTTCGTGCTCACCCCGGGTGAGCTGCGCTGGAGGGACACGCTCTTCTACGGGGTCTTCACCTCACAATGGTGAGTGACAGGGACCTGGGCCACTGTGGGGGGCAGTGCAGGGGGTTCAGCAGAGGCAGAGGCCTGATCTTGCCACGGGCTCTGCCTCTCCCCACCAGGAACAAGGGGGGGCTGGGCTCGGCTGTCTGTGCCTTCCCCATGCGCAGCGTGCAGCGTGCCTTTGGTGGGCTCTACAAGGAGGTGAACCGTGAGACGCAGCAGTGGTACACGGACACTGGCCCGGTGCCAGAGCCCCGGCCAGGCACAGTAGGTGCCCCCTCGGCGCCTGCCCGAGCGCAGGACGCGACACAGCCCCTCGTGCTCTCCTGGTCCTGGCGGCCACCACAGCAGAGCCGCCCACCCACCCGCTGCCCTGAGGACTACCGAGCCCCTTCCTCTCCCCTACAGTGCATCACCAGCCACACGCGGCACCTCAAGATCAATTCATCGCTGCAGATGCCAGACCGGGTGCTGAACTTCATCAAGGACCACTTCCTGATGGACAGCCCCGTGCGCAGCCAGCCGCTGCTGCTGCAGAGCCGCCGGCGCTACCAGCAGATCGGCGTGCACCGCGCGCAGGGCCTGCACGGCACCTACGACGTCCTCTTCCTGGGCATGGGTGGGTGCAGGCAGGCTCTGGTGGGGCAGGGTGTGCACTGTGCGCCCTGGCCCCACTCAGCACAGCCCCTCTGTTCACAGATGATGGGCGGCTGCACAAGGCTGTGCGAGTGAACCACGGCGTCCACATCATCGAGGAGATCTGCCTCTTCCCTGACGGGCAGCCCATTCTCCAGCTGCTGCTGGACCAGGACCAGGCAGGAACCAGGGCAAGGGGGGAGGGACACAGGGGGGCTCAGCCTGCATGAGGCAGGTCCTGTTTGTGGGCTGGGAGACAGAGACCTGGGAGGGCAGGGGTGCACGGGAAACCACCCCCTGACGCTGCTGTGTTTCTTCTCACAGGGCCTTGTCTATGCAGCCACCTACACAGCAGTGGCCCAAGTGCCCTTTGCCAACTGCAGCCTGTACCGCAGCTGTGGGGAGTGTGTGCTGGCACGGGACCCCTTCTGTGCCTGGAGCCGTGGTGCCTGCCGCAGGGTCACCCAGCACCCCCCAGCACACCCACAGTAAGTGCTGCACCCATTCTCCTCCATTCCCCTGCATCCCGCAGCACCCCACTGCAACCTGCAGCACCCCACTGCCCTGACACCTGTCTGTCCCCAGGCTCTGGGCACAGGACATCGAGGATGCTGACACGGAGCGGCTCTGCCAGCTGGCCAATGCCTCCCAGCCCCGTCCCCGCATCCTCCTGCCCCCAGGTGAGTTCCTGTGGGGGCTACCATGGGACTGGGTGTCTCAGGGGCTCCCACACATCCCAGGCTCCCAATCTGCACCCCCATTACTCCCCCATCCACATCCAGGGTCCCCTCGCTGACCGTGAGTTCTGTCCGCAGCCTCGGGTGCCCCATGCCAACGGATCCAGCTGCCGCCCAACGCGGTGCGGCCGCTGCCGTGCCGGCTGCTCTCCAACCTGGCCTCGCGGCGCTGGCTGCACGACGGGGCACCTGTCAACGCGTCCTACTTGGTGCTGCCCGATGGGGCCCTCATCCTGGTGGGGAGCCCCGAGCGCGCAGGCACCTACGAGTGCTGGTCACTGGAGGAGGGATTCCACAAGCTGATGGCCAGCTACTGTGTGAGCGTGCAGGAGCTGGGCCATGGGCCGCTGGACCCTGGCAGGAAGGTGGCCTCCGGCCACGACGCCCTGGAGACGGTCAGCACGTCCCGGAGCACCTCGGCAGTGGGCAGCGCCGCAGCACGGCTGGATGGCAAGACCTACTGGACTGAGTTCCTGGTGATGTGTGTGCTCTTCGCTGCCGCCGTCTTTGTGCTGGCCCTCATTGTCCTGCACCGGCACCGTGATGGCATGAAGGCCTTGCTGGAGCCTGGAGACCCGAGCCGGCACCAGAAGCCACCTCGCAAGCCAGTGGAGAGCCTGCCCCTGAATGGCAGCAGCTTGCCCAGTGCGGCATCTGAGCACAAGGGCTACCAGGCCCTGCAGGACAACTACATCGTCAGCACCCCAGTGCACGAGCCCTCGGGCACACCACGCGCCTTCTCTGAGTCAGAGAAGAGGCCCCTCCATGTCCGGGACAGCTTTGTGGAGGTGTCTCCTGCCTGCCAAAGACCCCGGGTGCGCCTGGGCTCTGAGATCCAGGACTCAGTGGTGTGACGAGGATGAGAGCCAAGCCCTCGCCCGTGACCACCTCTGCTCTGCTGAGCCTCACCGGACCGTGCCGCGGCCGGGGTCTGTGTTGTCTGTGTGTGCATGCCTGGAGCCTGGTGCCCGTGGCCTGCGGCAGCACCCACCAGCCAGTGGGGTCTGGACCCCCAGGAGCTCCCTGGGCATCACCTCGGTACTGGCAACGGTGGGTGTGAGGGGTGCTGCATGCCTTCCAGGGATGTCTGCGGGACTGTGCCAGCCCAGCATCCCCACCGTGGGAATGGACACAGTGCCTGGCTCGGGCTGCTGGTGCGGCCCCGGCTCCGCAGGGCCCAGACCCCCTCTATGCAGAGGGCAGGAGGGGGCGGCCACAGCCCCCTCGCACCCCGACTCACTGTGATGTCCTGCTGTGGGACCCAGGGCCACACGTGCGGCCAGGTGGTGCCGGCCCCGTGGCATGTGCTGTGTGTCTGTGTTTGGTTCATTTTTAATACGTGGAAAATGTGAATCGTGTCCAGGGAAGGGGGCAGGGAGCAGCTCCCCCTGCACCGGGTGGGCAGAGACACCCTCATGGCCCCATGTGCGTGTGCAGAAATGTCAGTGGTTTTTATATAAAGTCCAGGTGTCTCCTTTGGACATATGTGTGTGCAGTGGGGCTGGGCGACTTCCCAGGCTGGAACCATCCTGGTGGCCCCACGGAGAGGAGCCATGTCCGGCTCTTGGTGCAGTTGGGGGAAGATCTGCTGTGGCTGCACCTCACTCAGTCAGGGCAGGAGGGCCATGCTGGCTGTCAGACTTGCAGAGTCCCCATGTGCTTGACTGAGCATTGGGCCAGGGCACGCGGGGCCCTGCAGCGTGGTGGCTGTGTGCCTGCCCAGGGCTGTGCCAAGGGTCCCTGTGACCCTCTGGCAGGGTGTCACTTGAGCAGCTGTCGGCTGTCTTGGGGCCGTGCCTGGAGCCCCATGCTGTGAAGGGCAGCGTGGTGGAGGCAGAGCGGGGCTGATACTGTCTTGACACCATGAGAAGCTGCGGAAGGCAGAGGTGAACAGGACTAAGAAAACTTGGTGCCTGGGGCTGGGAGCGGAGCAGCCACCAGCAAGAAGGGGCTGTGGCAGCCCCCTTCCCCAGGACCATGGTGTTGTGCTGCACATGGGACCCACTGCCCATCTAGAGACCACCAGGTCCTTGTCCCCATCCCACCCGGCTGTAGGCAGACCCCAGCTGCTTTGCTGGCAGGACCTGACTCCATGGTGACTGAGGACCAGGACTGGGACTACGGTGCAGTGCTGCTCATGAGCCCTTACACACCTTCACGCCTGGGAAGCACCAGCTGCACCAGGACGGGGCTGACGGAAGCAGTGAGTGCTGCACAGAGCTGGCGTGTTGAGGCAGGATCACCCCCAGGGACCAGCACTGCCTCACTCCCAGCTGGACCTGCACACTGCATTTCCTGCCCAGCCTGTTCTGGGACATCAAAAAAGCCACCGGAGGCGTTGGCTGGTGCGTTGCCAGCAGACACGGCCCTGGGGCCACAGGGGTACAGGCCTTGGCGGGCAGATACCGTCAGCTACACGGGGCATTGAGCTGGAAGGGCCAGCAGCACAAGGAGCGGGAGACAGAGTGTGAGAAACAGCAATGCCAGTGCCCCAAGCTGCTTCTTCCCAGCACAGGGGCTCTGCAGGGCCAGCTGGACCCCAGGCCCAGGCCCCGCACCAGCCCGGAGGGGCCGCTGGCTGCGGGCCAGGGCAGAGCCGGTGGCTGAACAGGCACAAAGGGCCCCAGTGCTGCCCACAGCGAAGGTCCCACTCGCCTGGCCGGGATTTCCCTCAGAAGCACTGAGATCTTTGTGCTGCCCAGAACTATCCCGTCATGGAGGAGGGAGGGAGGAAGGCAGGGAGGTGGCCATGGAAAGGGCTGTCACCGCGCAGGACGTGGGACCTGTCCCACAGCAGTGGCTCGTATATGGGCAGACGGGCCTGGCAGGGGCCTGTGTCCCCAGCACCCTCGTGGCACCCGTCCCGCAGCCAGACAAAGGCAGCAAAGAGTGAGGGTGAAACCAGAGCCCTTTATTTGTGTCCTCACAGGGGCTGGGGGAGGAAGAGGCCGGCGCAGCCAAGCAGCTGCTGGGCTGGAGCCAGAGGAGGGGCAGAGAGGGAAAGGGAGGAAGAGGAGAACAGGCTTTGAGAACGGTCAGTGCTGAGGCAGCACGGGGGAGTCCAGCTGCGCACC